AAATTACTCTTTCTTCATTATTCAACAAGAATATTAATATCACATTATTTGCAGGTTGAATGTTGACAAAATATTTCCCGATAGAATTTATTACCTTCTGCCAGAGTAATGAACATTCCTGTTGCTCTAGCAAGGAAAACTATACTATGTTAAACCAAGTCGGATTTTTTTTAATATACGTCAGTTCGTTATATGAGTGAATTAGCTGGTAGAGAAGAGAGGATGAGTAGGAAGAGAGAGAGAGAGAGAGAATGAAAGAAAATAGAGAGGTGGGGAAAGAAAGAAAGAAAGGATGGCAAAAGAAGGAGATATTCTTTGTCCCGAGATGCAGTTTCCGACCTTGAGATGGGCAATCAGACTGCCGCTTCTTGGTGTCATCCCTTCCTTTGGCGCCTTGACTATCCCGGATGGATGGTTTGAAGTGTTGGTATTCGCTGGGCGCTGGCAACTCCCCACGTCTCCAGTTTTCTGTAATAAAGGAGGAGGAACTTTAAAAAAAAAATAGCTTTATGAGGTATGAAGTGACGGCAGTGTTAAGTTATGAGGGGTGAGGTTACGAGGTCATTAAAACTCGTGACCTCCTGTAAGTTAGGTTAGGTTAGGTTAGAAGAACATTGCATCATAACCTGAAGTTTACAAATTTGATACTTCTTTTGCATTAGACAAGACAAGATACGGAATAAACTTCTATGAATACATTAAACTTCTCTTTCAGTGTAACATCAACATACCAAAAGCTAAACAGGTAAAACAGTAAACAAATAAACAGGTAAAACAGTAAACAAATAAACTGTAAACAAATAAACATTAAACAGGTAAACACTAAACAGACTCTATCAAAACATAATAATCACTCCTGTGTTTACCTTGCATTGTATTCAGGCCAAGATTTAAAAGCCTATAACCCTTTCTAGTTTACCTGTGTGTGTTAAGATTCCTTCTCACCTGTGTACACTCTCCCATCTAACAGCCAAAATCATCAGGTATATACAGGTAGTTCTCCCCCTTTTGGTAGACTTTTACTATCATCTTAAACTAAACTTACACGGGTGGTGGGTGAAGGTTACGTCTGTGTGCGTGTGTGTGTGTGTGTGTGATTCAACCCTGCTCACTCTGCTTTTAATAACACGTCTGGAATTAGCCACGAGCTGATGAGTCATATGGTTAGGTTATGTTAGGTTAGCGTTAGGTTAGGTTTGGTTAGCGTTAGGTTAGGTTAGGTTAGGTTAGCGTTAGGTTAGGTTAGGTTTGGTTAGCGTTAGGTTAGGTTAGCGTTATAATGCCTAATCATCAAATGAAATAAGCTAAGGGTGTCTAATCTTCAGGTAAACCAACGAAAACACTAAGTATAATTAAATAAAAACGTACAATACAGAACAATATGATAAACACCGTATAATTAATTTATTTATTTATTTAGTTAGTTAATTAGTTTGTTAGTTATGTATCAAGCAAAGTATTTAAGCTCTACCTTTCCTGAAAATACCTGGCCAATTAACCGTATTAATGAGTGAGATTAAGTTAGCTGGTGTCGTGTCAAGGTTAGGAACAGGTGTTAGTCATCATGAACACCTGTCCACCCCCCCCCCCTCCACGGTATAGCTTATATCAACCACCAATATTCACGTCAAGCTCCCAGCGTCTACCTACCCAACCATCACACCTGAACTCCAGTAACTCAGGTGTGATATGAAGTTGGACTAGTTAACCGACAGGTGCAGCTGTATGATAAGTCTGTGAGCAAGTTACCTGATCACCTGAACATTAATCACCCAAACCTAACCAAACCTAACCAAACCTAACCAAACCAGACCTAACCAAACCTAACCAAACCTAACCAAACCAAACCAAACCAAACCTAACCTAACCTAACCTAACCTAACCAAACCAAACCACTACCACACAAGTCATCTGATGGTGTTATGGGCAGTTGATACTAAACAATATATACCCAAGTGTGGACCATAGGTGTGAGGACAAGACTATACTGAGAGGGAAGAGAGAGAGGGGGGGGAAGGGTTAGGTTAGGTTAGGTTAGGTTAGGTTAGGTTAGGTTAGGTTAGGTTAAATCACATAAAACACACGATTACCAAGAGAGGAATCGTTAAAATGAAATACAATCGCGGTGGTAAACAAGAGCCTTTAGTATGAATGAATGGGTGGGTGGGTGGGTGGGTGTGTGGGTGGCCCGTGGCGAAATAAACCTCCAAAATTAGCTTGAAATATAGGTAAGATAAAGTAATATATTCACAAGTGAGGTGGTGGTGGTGGTGGTGGGTGATGGTGGTGGTGGTGATGGTGATGGTGATGGTGATGATGGTGATGGTGGTGATGGTGGTGATGATGGTGGTGGTGGTGAAGGTGGTGGTGGTGGTGAAGGTGTAGTGACGGTAAGTGGTGGTAGAGACGCCTGTATGTTGACGAGACCTTGATGGCGCCAAGTAATATGCATAGTCAGTGGCGTGGTTAATGGCGTGTGTAGTGTTAGTAAATATTGAGT